GCTTTTATTGTGCTTGGTAGTGCTTTTGGCTTTTGGCTAGTACGGCTTAGTGATTGGCCATGTTAATGGCTGATCTTTTCGTTGGTGCAAAGGAGCTGCCTCAGATGAAACGGAAGGGCTGCCACCCTTCTGCGATCTAAGAAGGGTCCTCCTCAGCGGTGGTCGACCCTCCAGGGTGACTTTTGATCCTTTCCAGGGTCTTCCAACCAAGGGAAACTGGACTGTGGAGAGAGGGCTCTCCCCGCATGTCTGCTGGCGCCGCAATCCAGAACAGAAAGCTCTCCTCATTCTATGGGCATACAAAACTGCACTTCATAGAAGAGGACAAGATTGAAGTACTGTAGTGTACTGTTCTTTGCTCAGTATAATAGCTGTGCTTCCCTGCTAAACAAAATTCTTGAACATTTTGAATTGGAAAATTTTCACAAAATAATTTCAGTACAAATCAGGATAATATTCTGAGATGTTCTAAATAACCCTTTTAAAATTTGTTCAGATGGCATTCCTAAGTATCTAATATAATTTTAAATTGTATATAATTTGTTAATTAATTTGTTAATTTGTTGATATTAAGTTTGATTAACACAAATTTTGAGATTGCAATAAACATGGCATAGAAAATATTGAGATAAAATATTTTTCATAGAAAATGGTGTAATCATTGTCCAATAGCAGCCATATTGCTTATTTCCTCATAAGCAGCAATTCAATGATTGTTTCATTGAATTGCTGTAGTCCAGAAAAATATAGATCCATGCTAGGAATATTCATAAAATCTATGAAATGTATTGACACGATATAAATGGGACATAGATCACCAGTGTTAAGCAAGGTTCAGGTGTTGCTTGATAGAAATAAGGAAATGGAGTCCTAATGTCCCTTGATAAGCCAAACACGTTTATTCAGCTGAACAAAGGCAGGTCCTTCCTCCATTTGGAAGAACCCCAAACACTAAGACAGATTATATATATATATATATATATATAATTCTACTTAGTTACACAAGAGGAAGCTAGCATATAGCAGATAAGGCATACACTTTTCATGTTATGCAGCAGATAAGGCTACAGGCTGAACCACAAGCTTGTGGTTTTTTATGGAACTTTTCATAGCCTCGAAGGCCCGCTAGTTATGCCATCTCAACATATGTCCCTGTTTACCAATCATCAAACCAATCATCAAACTTATCAGAGTCCTGTGTATTGGTTATACTTCATCTACATGTTAAAAATGAGCAGAGAGAACACTGAACCCTTAGCTGTAAACTGACTTCTCATTCCCTATTAACACTGATTGGGACTAGCCTCGGAGGAAGCGGGTAAACCAACTCGAAAGTTTGCCACCCAACCAAACTCCTCAAGTCTGCCCAAAAGGATACCATGATCAGTGGCAGGGGTGTCAAACTGCCGGCCCATGGGCCAGATGTGTCAAGGTGAAACCATGCCCACCCCATTGCTGACAATGGCAAAAAAGTCACGATACGTCGCGACACGTCATGTGACGTTGCAAATTTGACAGCCCTGATCAATGGTATCAAAAGCATTCATGATGAGGGGTTTGGGGAGTTTGGGGAGTTGGATGGACAATTGTCTTTTTTTCCCCTTTCATTGTAAATAGCTCTTTCTTTGAGAAATTATACGAGTTTCGTTTTAGGTTTTTTAAAATAAAATTTTATTTAAAAATATGAACTACAAAAAAGAAAAAAGTTAAAAGAAAAAGGGGAGGGAGCAAGGAAAAAACAATTGGGAATTCAAACAAAAAAAGCTGCAGAAAAGAGTAATTTGCACTTTCTTTAGTGCAGATAAAAATATAAAATACAAATCTTTGAGATATCATGAATTATAGCATACAGTAATTCTATAATTATCAAATCCCAATATTAAAGTTTTGATTTTTTTCAGTTTCTAACAAATGAAAAAGTGATTTTCAGGTAGAAAGTTAGATAAACTAGCCTTTTTTAATCAACACAGTCAATTTTGCCATCTGTACCAACTCCATTAATTTCATCATCCATTCTTCCATTCTACATATTGTGAGTCTTTTCATCTTGGCATGTAAAAAAAAAGCCTTCCTGATATTGTCATGCATAAGTATAAAATTTCATGTTTTTTTCCAAATTGTTTACCCCTCAAACATAAAAAAGCCTCTGGCTTTGAGGACTGTCTGAATTAAAGTACATACCTGATTCCAATATTTTAAAGAAAAAATGCTATAAAATGCTATTTCAGTAGGAATTACGTTGGGGGAAAACAGTAAAAGACAGACTTTAAAAGTTTCGGAAAATACTTTAAAGAGAAAGCTGGTAAGAAATTAAGTTTTATTTCCTGGGGTTTAATTTTAATTTGTGTTCAACATATATAGGGGAACAAGCAGTAAAAAGGAATAATACAACTGGAACTTAAGCAAAATGGACAAGTCCTGATTGTGAAGATGGGGGCTTGTAAAAGATAACGTGCAGTAACATTTTTAAACAATGAATTTTCTAAGTTTCTTTAGATAAATCCTTGACCCTTTGATCATTATGATAGACCTCTTCAAACTGAAAACAAATATAATTTTGTAATGACTATATCATGTAGAAATCTTGAAAATATGAAATTAACTTTTAATTACTAAAATGTATTTAATTGCATAACATGCTATGTGATTTAACAGCACTAATACTAATGTCTGATGCATATCTCTGCAGTGTCCAACAATAGCCAGCCAATTGATGGATTCCAGTTGCCCTGATACTGTTTTTTTCATTGTGGCAATGGACTAATAAAAACTTTTACCATGTTCGTCACCGATGCAATAGATTTTTGGGAAAGAAATGCATATGTGATTCAGAAAATGAATATTCATTGACATTCTGCACTTCATGGTCTTAGAACATAGAGTCATAGGGCTGAAAAGGACCTCAGAGATCTTCTAGTTCTTTTACTCAAGGCAGGAGACCATATATCATTTCAGTCAAATGGTTATCTAGTCTACTCTTGAAAACCTCCAGCAGTGTAGCTCCTGCAACTTCAGAAGACAAGCAATTCCATTGATTAATTATTCTCACTGTCAGTAATTTTTCTCCTTAGTTCTAGGTTGAATCTCTCTTTTACAAAGTTCCACTCATTGCTTTTTCTCTTGTCCTTTGGTGCTTTGGAGAATAAGCCGATCCCTTTTCTCCGTAATAGCCCTTCCAAGTACTGGAAGACAGGTATCATGTCACTCTAATTCTTCTCTTTAATAGACTAGACATAACTAGCTCTCTCAACTGTTCATCATATGATGTAGCTTCGATGCTCCTTATCATCTTTGTTGCTTTCTTCTACACACTTTCTAGGGTCTCAGCATCTTTTTTTGTATTGTGACCAGAATTGTACACAGTATTCCATGTGTAGCCTCTCTAGTGTGATATAAAGTAGTATTACAATTTCTCATGATCTTAATGCAACCTAGGACTAAATTGGTTTTTTTGGCAGCTGCAGCATGCTCTCCCCCAAAGTTCCTTCAGTTTCTACTCCCTCATCCATTTCATCCCTATTAGCAAGAATTACAGTGAGGGGAAAATTATTTGATCCCCTGCTGATTTTGTACATTTGCCCACTGTCAAAGAAATGATTAGTTTATAATTGTAATGGTAGGTTTATTTTCACAGTGAGAGACAGAATAACAACAACAAAAATCCAGAAAACCGCATTTCAAAAAATTCATAATATATCTTTTTAATTTTTCCCTTTTTATATTGTCTTTTTATTATATTTAAAGGCACTGAGATCAGTTGTGGAGAGATAGCAATCAGATGAATAAATGCTCCCCTCCAGCCCCCCTTCAGCTAACCTTGAAGGCTAATTCAGGGAGATCCCCTACCCGAGAGATAATGTCTTATGGCTCTGGATATGTAAAAACAACAGAACATGTCCTTGTCCATTGACAGTAGTACAAAGATATTTGTATTAGACTTATCTTACCACTATAAATAACCAGAGCACATTGGACAAATGTACACCTTCCTTGTGCTTTCAGATACCAATGTTGCCAGATTCTGCATAGCAGCACTTAAAATCTGCCAGAAGGTGATCTATGCAATAAATCAGTTTTAAGGAACACCTACTGAAGTTTGTCATTCTAGAACATTTTGTAATAATAGTTGTAGTTTGCCATGTTCCCTACACCAATCTTCTGCTCCTTTTTATGTACTGTATTTTCCAGTGTATAGGATGACTCGGTGCATAAGACGACCCCCGACTTCAGTACCGAGTTGCATGCCTAGAAAGTTGTCTTATATGCTGGAAACTACCGTAATTTCTGGTGTATAAGACGACTCGGTGTATAAGACGACCCCCGACTTCGGCGCTGATTTGAATGCTTTAGAAAGTCGTCTTATACGCCGGAAAATACAGTATATATATTTTATTTTGATGTACTTTTTATGCTTTTTATTCTTTTGTGCCCTATCTTTCTTATGCTAGTCTTTGACTATAATAAAGATTTGATTTGATTATGTTCCCCTCAAATTCAGATTCTGCATATGCTATTAGAAAATTAGCTTCTTGAGAATTGCACCTCAGTATAAGTTTGTAAAGCCATTTTAAAAAGACAAAAATAAATGAAAGGCCTGGACAAGATGCTTTACTCGCTCACACACACATAGGCACACACAAAGAGACACACATACGTATATGTACACATATAGGTATAGGAATCTAATCCCAAATCTATAGAACTCAGTTTAAATTCTTTAAATGATAAGGGTAATATAGTTTATACTAAAAAAAAATGTGGAATGCTGTTTTTTTCCTATTAAATGTCAGCTGACCAGAACTGTGATAGGAGTTTTCATGTGAAAACTTGTTGAGCCATTTTGTCCCTGATTATATCAGAATACAGAGATTTCCAATAGAATATAGCAATTTACGAAATAAATTTGAGTTTAATGCCTTTTTTATACCATTATTTTAATTATTTGAGACTATTAAGCTATTAAAAACATCACTAATATTAAACATTTTTCTTTTAAACAGCCTTGCAATGTTTTTGTCTTCACTGTACAAAAGAGAACTTCACATGTACAACAGATGGACTCTGCATTACTTCAGTGACACGGAATAGAAACAAAATTATACGCAATAGTATGTGTCTTGCAGAAATTGATCTATTTCCCAGAGACAGGCCATTTGTTTGTGCTGTTTCAACAAGTAAAGGAGTAATTACAGTGCCTCATTGCTGTGATAAAGACTTCTGCAATAAAATAGATCTTCCAATTCCAACACCAGGTAATCTTTTTTTTTATCAGCAGAAAATGGATAGCTGGGAGAATTTACTATAATCAAACATATCTATAAAACAAAGTTTTATTTTCTTTCATTTCACACAGTACCAAGTTCTCAATATAGTATTTAACTAATGAGTTCTTTGTTTTATTGTTTGTGTTCCCTTTTTATACCTTAGGTCCTATAACAGGGAAGTTTTCTTCTACCCTAGGACCAGTGGAATTAGCTGCTGCCATTGCTGGGCCAGTTTGTTTTCTTTGTATTTCACTTATGTTGATTCTTTATATCTGCCATAATCGTACATTCTTACACCATCGAGTTCCAAGTGAAGAAGATCCTTCAATGGAGCGACCATTTATATCTGAGGGAACCACTTTAAAAGATTTAATTTATGATATGACCACTTCGGGATCAGGATCAGGTAATCAGATCTCATATTCTAGTAAATGATTTTTAAAAAATTATACTGTCAAGGTTCTATGGATAAAAGTAGATTAGAACCTTTAGCCCAGCTTTTAACTACTATGTTGCATTGGCTATCATGCATTTTGAGTGCTATAGAGAAGCCAAGCAGGTGCCCTTGGAAAAACAAGACAATGTAGATAGTTGCAAAAACAGGCTCAAGAGTCAGTGAAAGTATACAAAAAAGCTAAGCTGACATAACTCGTTACATGTGCTCTTGGGTTTACATCAATTCATTCAGCAATCATTCAATGTTACAGTGGCATTTACCTTCTCTAACAGCTCCCCCAATGATTTTGCTTGTGAGAAGCTGGCAGAAAAGATTGCCAATGACAATCTTGTGACTGGCTAGTTGCAATATTGTAATCGCAGATCCAGCCAGTACTGCAATGCTGTAACAATGATTATAGCATAGATATCTAGCTTGCTATTACAATATTGCAGCTAGTCAATCACAAGACTGTCATTGGCAATCCTTTCTGCCATCCTTTCTTCCCACAAGCAAAATCATTGGGGAAACTGTTACAGATTCACAAGTTGCTTCTACCATTTTGTCTTCCAAAAGCTTGCTATAGAATACAAGGTATTGTACTGTGTACCACCTCCTACCCACCTGTGCTCTGTCATACAACCTGCCTGCAGCAATACATTTCCTCGCCTGTGGCCTCCGTTGTCTTCCCATGGGTTCCACCAGCCTGCCTGCATCCATAGTACTTGTCTACGTCCTCTGCCGGCCTACCTGTATCTATATTGTCAACTTGTGGCCCTCATGGACTCAACCACAATCCCCTTCCTGCGACCTCCCTACACTCCTTTCCTGGGATTCTCCTTCTTTGTCATAATCCAATTATATCTCCTTTCTATCTATCTCCTCTGAGTTAAAAGCAATTCTCACCCTTCCCCAGATTCTGCCATACTTCCAAGGGGGAAGGGGGATGTGCATGCGGGTTTAATACTTTCACTTCCTCTATTCACTACAAAGTAACCTTTTGTTTATTCGCTTTCATGTCTAGTAACCATTACAATGTAACAAATGCCTCCTATACTATGCACCCCTCTGAACTTCTCCCTACCGGGCAGCTAGGAAAAGGAAGGGAAAGAGATACAAACCTCTGGGACATGGTTTATTTCTCCGTCATCAAAATGAGGTGGGAAGAGCTGTGGAATGATCGTGCATGAACGGAGCCAGATTGATGTTATCTTTCTGTTCCCATCGATGGAATTAACACCTGGGGATTTGCCGGTCTGAACTGCCTGGATAAACTGTGAGGTGGGGTTTGTTTAGGGACACTTTAAAATGTCGATCTGTAAGGGAACCCCTCAGATCCTGTCTATTATGCCTTCTATCAACTACTCTTAATAGAAGTTCCTGTTGGAAGAAATTGTTCCCAAGAGTTCTGCTTTCTTAAGATGTGAGTTGAAGTGGGTCCTTACATTAGACAGGATTAGCAGTAATAGTCAACCTGGAAGGAAGAACCTTACCAGGGGACTTTGCAAAAATTACAATGTCAGACGACGAGGCAGGGAAGGAAGAAAATCCCACAGAAAGGAAGCCTTCCCCCCCCCCCCGACCAAGATCCTGTCAGCTGTCGGGATCTAAAATGTCATACTCCTCAGGAGAAGAGGTGGTGGAGATGTGCAACCACAAACCTCGGTAGTCAATGAGTGTTGGAAAGAAAGGCAAGTGGGAAAAGAGTTTGAGAAAGGTGACCCTGAGACGGGACAGCCACCAACCAGAAGCAGCAGATGGAGAGATCGTTGCACGTTAGCGAGGAGGAAGGAAGTTGTGAACAACGCTCAAACTGGATCCTAGAGAAAGCCATTGACCTGATGAAAAGAATCCTCGGCTCTCTAGGGGAGGAGAAATCTGAGCCCAGTGGCTGAACCAGCACCCAGAGCTGCAGCTGGAGAGACACTGACGGGGAATCGGAACCTGTAGTCCCGGGGATGTCCGCTGAACCAGTAGCGACCATTTCAGCAGCCCCCACTCCCCGCCAATCCACAAATGGTAATCAGGATGGAAGACAATATCACTAACAGCAAAGGCATTGATCCATTCAAAGATTCCCATCGCTGGATGCAAAATTCAAGGGGGAACTGACACGCTTGGGGTTTTTCCTAACCCAAGACCTCAGCTATATGGAAGAATACGGGTGGCACATCCCCAGCGACAAAGCCCGTATCTGTATCGTGCAATCCACTCTAGACGGACCAGCAGCAGATTGGGTGGTGAACTTGCATGATTCCAATGCCCCAGAGCTCAGTGACTTCAACCATTTCATGTCCTCTCTGAGAAGGCATTTCGAGGACTCCCTGGCTGATTGCAAAGCCTGCAAAAGAATCAAAATGGTGAGGCAGGGCAGATGCCCGGTAGCCGAATATATACAAGAATTCTGGACCATTGCCAGCAAGCTGAAAGAAGCTGGCTGGAAGACATCCTCCTTAGTCATTTCAAAGACGGTTTAAATTACGACCTGTATGATGCTTGCCTGCCCCGGGGAAGACCCACACCAACTCGACGAATGGTACATCCTGGCAGAGGAAGTAGAGATCGACCTACTGAAGAGGTACCACCGAGGAAAACCATGGGGCTGCTCGCTGTTTCAGCCCATGTGGAAGCCAGCTACAGCCAAGAAATCAATGGGATGTTTCAAATGCGGGAGAGAGGGGCATCGGGCCCTAGAATGCCGCTCGAAAGGCCCTCAGCACAACCCAGACCGATTACCAGCCAGGAAATCCGATAAGTCCCCATCCAAGCCAAAAGAACCCGCCATGAGAGCGATAGAGGCTGTGGAGTCACCAACCTCTGCGCAGCATGGGGAGGGAACTCCAGCCTACACCGCAGGGCCAGTGGACACGTCAGACGACAGCTCGGAGGGCAAACCCCTGGTAAGTGGACCCATTGCACCCTTTCTCAAGACAGTGACTATATTAGTTGCCTCCATGCCTGAAACTTTCAAAGTGAAAGCCTTAATAGGCTCTGGCTTCACCCGCTGCCTCATTAGCCCAACGCTAGTAGGGAATTTGGGCATTCCGTCGAGGAGGCTAAAACAATCTCATTTGACCAGTTAGATGGGTCCATAGCAGTGGGAGTGCCAGCTACCCTAGCCACTTTACCAATCCACCTACTCCTGGGAAACCATGAGGAAGACATAATGTTTGTAGTGACCCCAGGCATGGAATGCCCAGTGATCCTAGGGCTGGAATGGTTAAAGAAATGGAACCCCTGGGTGAATTGGAGGATGGCAGAAGTCAATTTCCCGAAGGGGGATCCTATAGACTTAAAACCCCGAGGAGTCCTACCAAATTAAGAACGGAGAAAACATCAATGGGAGAAGAAAAGGGGCTACCCAAAATACCAGAGGAATACCAAGACCTTGCTGAAGTTTTCAATGATGAGTGGGCAGATGAGCTCCCCCCTCATCAACCCACGAATTGTGCCATAGAATTCAAGCCCGGGGCAAAACTCCTGAAGCCCATGAGCCCCTAAGGAGAAGGAGGAAATGGAACGATTCATAAATAAAAACCTAGAAAGGGTGTTTATTGAACCTGCCAAGGCTAAAGTAGCCACCCCGGTCCTCTTTTGAGAGAAGAAGGAGGGCATTTTATGCTTGTGTGTAGACTACTGCTCCTTGAATGCAATCAGTGAAAACAATCTATACCCCTACCCCTCATGAAGGACATGATATCCCACCTCTCAAAAGGAAGAATTTTCACTAAACCAGATCTAAGGGAAGCGTATTACCATGTTAGAATTAAGGAAGAGGATAAATGAAAAGTCGCATTTAATTGCCCAATGGGGTGCTACCAATTCAAAGTTTTGCCGTTTGGACTAGGGGGCCCTGCAGTATTTATGCAATTTAATTAATCAATGAGGTACTAAGGGAGCACCTAGTTAAGGGGGTCCTGGTTTATTTAGACAACATCCTTATCTTCACCAAATCCAAAGAGGAATATGTCAACCTAGTCAGAGGGGTTTTAAAGAAGCTGCGAGCTGCCCACCTATATGCCAAATTACCAAAATGCGAATTCCACCAGGAAAGAATAGACTACCTGGGTTATCGCATATCCCCACAGGGCATTGAAATGGACCCTGAGAAAGTCAGAGCAGTACTAGAATGGTCACCACCTTGCACAAGCAAGCAGCTGCAAAGTTTCCTGGGTTTTGCAAACTTTTTACCGCCAATTCATCTCCTCATTTGTCCAGATAGCCCTGCCCCTCACGAACTTACTAAAAACGAAGGGAGAATCCTCAGTGAAACCTAGCCAGCCACTAAAATGGACAATGGAATGCCAAACAGCGTTTGAGAGATTAAAGAGACTTTCTGCCTAACCCGTACTGAGGCATCCAGACATGGATAAGCCTTCATAATACAGGCATATGCAAGTAATGTGGCAGTGGGGGCTGTACTATTATAAGAAAATGATGAAGGGGTATTGCAACCATGCGCGTATACGTCCAAGAAACTCACCGAAACGGAACACCGCTGGCCCGTGTGGGAGAAAGAGGCATACGGAATACGTTGGTCATTACTATGTGGCGCCAGTTCCTTGAAGGAAATAAAATCCCTTTTCAGGTATGGACAGACCACAAAAACCTGGAAGCCTTGAAAACACCCAGGAAGCTCACCCCCAAGCAAGCCTGCTGGTCCCTATATTTTCACCAATTCCACTTTACGCTGCAGTTTGCTGAAAAGAGAACAACAGTCAACCTTACGCCCAAGAATTCCCCACCACCACCACCTCCAATCATGGTTGAAGGAGAACAACATTTTGAGATAAAGGAAATCCTAGAGTCCTAGACTCTAGGAAATATCATGGGACAACTCAATACCTAGTAGCATGGAAACACCTTCCCTTCTCACAAAACAAGTGGGTCCATAAACGTCATGTCAGAGCCCCGAAATTGCTAAAGAAGTTTCATACAGAATAAGCCAGACTAACTTTTATACCTGTTTTGTTCTCTCTACAGATGGATTTCTCTTATTTTTAAGAGGGTCAGGATGTCAGAATCCAGTTATAACTCCTTTCTATCTTATCTCCTCTGATTTAAAACCAATTCTCACCCTTCCCTGGATTCTGCCATACTTCCAAGGTGGAGGGGGGATTTGCATGCAGGTTTATTACTTTTACTTCCTCTATTCACTACAAAGTAACCTTTTCTTTATTCGACTTCGTGTCTACTAACTATTACAATGCAACAAATGCCTCCTATACTATGCACCCCTCTGAACTTCTCCCTACCGGGCAGCTAGAAAAAGGGGGGGAGATACAAATCTTTGGGTGTATTTCTCCATCATCAAAATGAGATGTGAAGAGCTGTGGAATGATCGTGCACAAACGGAGTCAGATTGATGTTATCTTTCCGTTCCCATCGATGGAATTAACACCTGGGGATTTGCCGGTCTGAACTGCCTGGATGAACTGTGGGGTAGGGTTTGTTTAGGGACACTTTAAAATGTTGATCTGTAAGGGAATCCCTCAGATCCTGTCTATTATGCCTTCTATCAACTAGTCTTAATAAAAGTTCCTATTGGAAGACATTGTTCCCAAGAGTTCTGCTTTCTTAAGATGTAGGTTGAAGTGGGTCCTTACACTCTCCCTGCTTAATGATCTGTGTGGTCCTGGAATTACGATAGCAATCATGACTGGCAAAATTGCTGTTAGTAAATAATGTCATATTTCACTATACAAACACATGTGACCTATAGAATAGAAGAGGAGTGAAAAAAATCAGTTCAAGCTAATGAATAAAGTGTAGTTCCACCCAGACTTGTGGAATATATTTCCTTCCCTGATCTATTTCAAAGGGGAAACAGATATATACAAACCGGATTTGGTTAGATCCCAACTGGAAAATTATTTCAGCTTTAAACAGATTTTTGACCCACTTCATTGATTTAGATTACATAGTGAAATAGTGGTGGGAATCTGATAAACTTCATTAGAGATAAAGGTTCCCTAGATATGGGAGTAAAAAGTTGCAGTGATTAAAAAATTGTTGAAGTATTTGTGTATTTACAGCAAGTGCAATAGAATAAGTTTGGAGATTTGCAGCCAAAGGACTGCCCAACAGTATTGTTACTGGAAATTAAACTATTATTTGAAGTTGCCTTTTTTTTTAACAAAGTAGAATTGGTTTCCTTTATTTATGATCAAAGGCAATGGCCAACTAGAATTAATAATAGCTAGAGGCTTTAACAGTCTTTTGATAGGGGAAAAGCCTTGTAGATCAAAGCCTGGATTGATTGATTAATTAGTTCCTTATCACTGATCAAAAAACTTTTTTTAAGGTTTGCCGTTACTTGTTCAAAGAACAATTGCAAGAACAATTGTACTACAAGAAAGTATTGGAAAAGGTCGCTTTGGAGAAGTCTGGAGAGGAAAATGGAGAGGAGAAGAAGTTGCAGTAAAAATATTTTCTTCAAGAGAAGAACGCTCATGGTTTCGTGAAGCTGAAATCTATCAAACAGTTATGCTCCGTCATGAGAATATTCTTGGATTTATAGCTGCAGACAACAAAGGTGACAGTCCAGAAATATTTTGCTTATGATATAGAGTAACTTGTTATTATATACAGGTAGTCCTCAATTTACAACCACAATTGAGCCAAACATTTCATTTAAACAAGTCATTTCTTAAGTGAATTATGCCCCATTTTATGATCTTTTTGCCACAGTTGTTAAGCAAATCACTGCAGTTGTTAAATAAATTGTATTCTTTAAGCGCATCTGGTTTCCCCATTGACTTTGCTTGTCAGAAGCTGGCTGGGAGGGGCGCAAATGGTGATCACATGACCTCAGGATCCTGTAGTCATCATAAATACATGCCATTTGCAAAGTACCTGAATTTTGAACACGTGATCATGGGAATACTGCATTGGTCATAAGTGTGAGAATTGGACATAAGTCATTCTTCCAGTGCCATTATAACTGAAGAGTCACTAAATAAATGGTTGTAAGATGAGGATTTCTCATTTCTCAATGGGAAATATTAATGACATAATATCTAAACATACTCAATTTTAAGAAAATCTTGAATTATACTTTTTTGAAAAATATTTTTTGTTCATTGAAAACAAAATTGTAATGGTTTTGTGTTTATGTTCAAATTTGTCTTAAATGCTTATATTAAGTATCTTTTACTCTGCCAAATTGGGTGCACTCCTTCTCTGTCAAATTTAACACTCAGAATTCCTCAACAAGATGGCTATTGCAGAGGATTTTAAGAATTGAAACCCATACTCATTGACAATTGCCACAGTTGGGAAACTCTTATCTGGAATAAATTTCATTAGATTTACTGTCAGGTCCAGAAATATTGGGACATCGACACAATTCGAACATCTTTAGCTCTACACACCACCACAATGGAGTTGGAATGAAACAAACACAATATGCTTTAACTGCAGACTATCAGCTTTAATTTGAGGGTATGTACATCTAACTCATGTGAACGGGGTAGGACTTACAGCAGTTTACATATGTGCCTCCCACTTGTTAAGGGACCAAAGATAATGGGACAGAATAATAATCATAAATCAAACTTTCCCTCCTTAATACTTGGTTGCAAATCATTTGCAGTCAATCACAGCCTGAAGTCTGGAACACATAGACATCACCAGATCCTGGGTTTCATCCCTGGTGATGCTCTGCCAGGCCTCTACTGCAACTGTCTTCAGTTCCTGCTTGTTCTTGGGGCATTTTCTCTTCAGTTTTGTCTTCAGCAAGTGAAATGCATGCTCAGTGGGATTCAGGTCAGGTGATTGTCTTGGCCATTGCATAACATTCCACTTCTGTCCCTTCACAAACTCTTTGGTTGCTTTTGCAGTATGCTTTGGGTCATTGTCCATCTGCACTGTGAAGCGCCGTCCAATGAGTTCTGCAGCATTTGGCTGAATGTAAGCAGATAATGTTGCCCGAAACACTTCAGAATTCATCCTGCTGCTTTTGTCAGCAGTCACATCATCAATAAATACAACAGAACCAGTTCCATTGGCAGCTATACATGCCCATGCCATGACACTACTACCACCATGCTTCACTGATGAGGTGGTATGCTTGGGATCATGAGCATTTCCTTTCCTTCTCCATACTCTTCTCTTCCCATCACTCTGGTACAAGTTGATCTTGGTCTCATCTACCAATAAGATCTTGTTCCAGAACTGTGAAGGCTTTGTTAGATGTTGTTTGGCAAACTCTAATCTGACTTTCCTGTTTTTGAGGCTCACCAATGGTTTACATCTTGTGGTAAACCCTCTGTATTCACTGGTGAAGTCTTCTCTTGATTGTTGACTTTGACACACATACACCTACCTCCTGGAGAGTATTCTTGATCTGGCCAACTGTTGTGAAGGGTGTTTTCTTCACCAGGGAAAGAATTCTTCGGTCATCCACCACAGTTGTTTTCTGTGGTCTCCCGGGTCTTTTGGTGTTGCTGAGCTCACCAGTGCGTTCCTTCTTTTTGAGAATGTTCCAAACAATTGTTTTGGCCACGCCTAATGTTCTTGCTATCTCTCTGATGGGTTTATTTTGTTTCTTCAGCCTAATGATGGCTTGTTTCACTGATAGTGACAAGCTCTTTGGATCTCATCTTGAGAGTTGACAGCAACAGATTCCAAATGCAAATAGCACACTTGAAATGAACTCTGGGCCTTTTATCTGCACATTGTAATTGGGGTAATGAGGGAATATCACACAGCTGGCCATGGAACAGCTGAGAAGCCAATTGTCCCATTACCTTTGGTCCCTTAACAAGTGGGAGGCACATATGCAAACTGCTGTAAGTCCTACCCCGTTCACCTGAGTTGGATGTACATACCCTCAAATTAAAGCTGACAGTCTGCAGTTAAAGCACATTGTGTTTGTTTCATTCCAACTCCATTGTGGTGGTATATAGAACCAAAGATGTTCAAATTGTGTCAATGTCCCAATATTTCTGGACCTGACTGTATTTGCAAGGCTAACGAAATAATAGCACTTGCCAATCCAAGTGTTTGGGTACTAATGACCACAAGGAGATACTAAGAGTATAAACTAAACGGAAATAAAAAGAAAAGAATCCTGGAAGGCATAGCAAGTTATTTCCAGATTGTTTCCAAAGGCTGTGTCCATTAAGTTACAAGGAGTTAGCCTTTACCTTTCAGCTGTGAGTAATTTTATAGATTGATATTAAAGGAACTAAAACAAATTATTTGAAATGAGGAGTGGTTCTACAAATGGCTTATATTGCAATGATTTCACAAATATTTTTATCTGGATTGTAGACATGTTTTTCATCTTGGATTTTTTTAAAGCATATTTGTTACAAATTCAGTTCAGTGAAATGTGGGTTACTTAAATCTCCATGACTTCATTAGGATTTTTTGTTGTGCCATTTTTATGATGGTTCTAATATTAGGTGTCCATTTCAAATTCTGGGAGATTATGGAACCCAAAAACTTGAAGAACTCTATAGCTGATACTATGCTATCAAATATAGTAAAAGGTGGTAGAGTAGAAGCATTTTCAACTCCTGATTGTTCCAGATGCACCACTGTGCCAGTTGTTCAATCTCCTGTCTATAGGAAGACTCATCACATCTTGAATGAGACCAATGACTATTGTATCATCTGCAAACTTTAACACTTAATAGAGAAATCTCTAGAGATGCAGTCATTTTTCCAATGTGTTTTGTTTACTTTGTTCCCTTAATTTTAATTGTTCCTATTTTGTTTTGATTTGCAGATAATGGTACATGGACACAACTCTGGCTAGTGTCAGATTATCATGAGCATGGTTCTCTTTTTGATTATTTGAACAGGTATACTGTTACTGTAGAGGGAAAGATAAAGCTAGCATTATCAACTGCCAGTGGACTTGCACATCTTCACATGGAGATTGTTGGCACACAAGGTAACTTAATCCCAATGTTTGTTTCAGTTGTTAATGTACATTTTCTTTTGGTAGTATGCATTTTGAAATTTTAATCATCTCCATTGCAGCTTAATTTGATTAAAATTTTAATTTACGTGATTTATGTTTAAATTAAAAAATTGATTACATGGATAATACTTTTGCAATATCTACTAATTAAAGTTTTCAATGGGAAATACCTCTCCTCACTATCTCCCTCTTACTATAGTTTTTCTTCCTGACACCACAGGAGCATCATTTTAATGAATATTTCTTCTAAAAGTTTTTATTCTTTTTTTCTATCTTCTCTTTTAATCATACATTCTAAAATAAGTTTTTCTATATATCTTTTACCAAATGAGCTAGCATGTTGTACTAGAGACACATATAATCGTAATGTCAGTGAGAAGCAAACAGATGTTTTAAAAGTCTAATAATTCTGATAAAAAATAGTAGATCTACTGTAGTCTAATATTTTTTTTAGCTAAAAAGTAAGATTTTCTAAGCCACTGTAGTCTCTCTGACTCCTTATGGCTCCTAAATTTACTCTTTTCAAAGTTTAACGTTCTTGGAACCATTAATTTGAGACATACGGATAGTTCCAAAATGCCATCTTACATGTAGAAACAGGCATGGTTTTGTGGAATGCTAGAGCATGGTTCCACAAAACCATACCTGTTTTTACATGTAAGATGGCATTTTTGAACTATCTAGACAATCTTACTTTTTAGCTAAAAAAATTACTAGACTACAGTAGTTCTACTATTTTTTATCCGAATTATTAGACTTTTAAAAAATCTGTTTGCTTCTCACTGTCTTTACTACTATATGTGTCTCTAGTACAGTGGTTCTCAACCTTTCTAATGCCGCGACCCCATAATACAGTTCCCCATGTTGTGGTGACCCCCAACCACTTATACATCACCAGGTGCCAGGGGCATGGCCAAAGAAAAGGGAAAAATGGCGGACAGCCTTGTTTGGCGACACCCGTGAAATGGTCATTCGACCCCAAACGGGGTCCCAAGCCACAGGTTGAGAACCACTGCTCTAGTACAACATGCTAGCTCATTTGGTAAAAGATATATAGACAAAATGTGAACCACTGGAGAAGGAAATGGCAAACCACTCCAGTATCTTTGCCATGAAAACCCCATGGACAATACTAAAAGGCAAAAAGATATGATGCTGGAAGATGAGCCCCTCAGGTCGGAAGGTGTCCAATATGCTACTGGGGAAGAGCAGAGGGCTAGTACTAGTAGCGTCAGAAATAATGAAGCGACTGGGCCAAAGCCGAAAGGACGCTCAGCTGTGGATATATCTGGTGGTGAAAGGAAAGTCCGATGCTGTAAAGATTTTTTCTCCATAGGAACCTGGAATGTAAGATCCATGAATCAAGGCAAGCTAGACGTAGTCAAAAAAGAGATGACAAGATTGAACATCGACATCTTAGGAATCAGCGAACTAAAATGGATAGGAATGGGTGAATTTAACTCAGATGACCATCAGGTATACTACTGTGGGCAAGAATCCCTCAGAAGAAATGGAGTAGCCTTCATAGTCAATAAAAGAATAGGAAAAGCAATACTGGGATACAATCCCCAAAATGACAGAATGATCTCAATTCGAATCCAAGGCAAACCATTCAATATCACAATAATCCAAATCTATGCCCCAACCACTGGTGCTGAAGAGGATGAAATTGACCAGTTCTATGAAGCCCTACAGCACCTTATAGAATTAACACCAAAAAAATGATGTCCTTATCATCATGGGGGATTGGAATGCTAAGGTAGGAAGCCAAAAGATAACCGGAATAACAGGCAAGTTTGGCCTTGGAGTACAAAATGAAGCAGGGCACAGGCTGATAGAATTTTGTCAAGAGAATACGATGGTCATAACAAACACTCTTTTCCAACAACCAAGAGACGGCTCTACACATGGACATCACCAGACGGTCAACATAGAAATCAGATTGAGTATGTGCTCTGCAGCCAAAGATGGAGAAGCTCTATACAGTCAGTAAAAACAAGACCAGGAGCTGACTGTGGCTCAGATCATGAGCTTCTTGTTGCAAAATTTAGGCTTAAATTGAAAAAAGTAGGGAAAAGCACTAGGCCACTCAGGTATGAACTAAATCATATTCCTGATGAATATACAGTAGAGGTGACAAATAGATTTAAGGAAATTAGATCTGATAGACAGAGTGCCTGAAGAACTATGGATGGAAGTTCGCAACATTGTACAAGAGGTAGCAACTAAAACCATCCCAAAGAAAAAGAAATGCAAGAAAGCAAAATGGCTGTCTGAGGAAGCTTTGCAAATAGCCGAGGAAAGAAGGGAAGCGAAAGGCAAGGGAGAAGGAGAAAGATACACCCAACTGAATGCAGAATTCCAGAGAATAGCTAAAAGAGATAAAAATGGCTTCTTAAATGAACAGTGCAAAGACTTAGAAGAATAGGGAGGGCCAGAGATCTCTTCAAGAAAATTGGAGATATGAAGGGAACGTTTCATGCAAAGATGGGCATGATAAAGGACCAAAATGGCAGGGACCTAACAGAGGCAGAAGAGATTAAAAAGAGATGGCAAAACTACACAGAAGAACTGTACAAGAATGAGCTTAACGTCCCAGATAACCACAATGAGATGGTCACTGACCTCGAACCAGACATCCTAGAATGTGAAGTGAAATGGGCCTTAGGAAATCTGAGCAATAACAAAGCTAGTGGAGGTGACAGTATTCCAGCTGAGCTATTCAAAATCTTAAAGGACGATGCAGTAAAAGTGCTATACTCAATTTGCCAGCAAATTTGGAAAACTCAGCAGTGGCCACAGTATTGGAAAAGGTCAGTTTACATTCCAATTCCAAAGAAAGGCAATGCCAAAGAATGTTCAAACTATCGCACCATTGCACTCATTTCACATGCAAGTAAAGTTATGCTTAAAATCCTACAAGCTAGACTCCAGCAGTATGTGGATCGAGAACTACCAGAAGTACAGGCAGGATTTCGAAGAGGCAGAGGAACTAGAGATCAAATTGCCAACATACGCTAGATCATGGAGAAAGCTAGGGAGTTCCAGAAAAACATCTACTTCTGCTTCATTGACTATGCTAAAGCCTTTGATTATGTGGATCACAACAAATTGTGGCAAGTTCTTAAAGAGATGGGAATACCAGACCATCTTATTTGTCTCTTGAGAAACTATATGTGGATCAAGAAGCAACAGTGAGAACTGGACGTGGAACCATTGATTGGTTCAAAATTGGGAAAGGAGTCCGGCAAGGCTGTATACTGTCGCCCTGCCTATTTAACTTATCTGCAGAGCACATCATGAGAAAGGCAGGGCTAGATGAATCAAAAGTTGGAATTAAGATTGCCGGGAGAAATATCAACAACCTAAGATATGCAGATGATACCACTCTAATGGCAGAAAGTGAAGAGAACTAAAGAGCCTCTTGATGCGGGTGAAGAAGGAGAGTGTAAAAGTAGGCTTGAAACTCAACATTAAGAAAACCAAAATCATGGCATCCGGCCCTCTCAATTCCTGGCAAATAGATGGGGAAGAAATGGAGATAGTGACAGATTTTATTTTTCTGGGCTCCAAGATCACCTCAGATGGGGACTGCAGCCAAGAAATTAAAAGACGCTTGCTCCTGGGGAGGAAAGCTATGGCAAATCTAGACAGCATACTAAAAAGCAGAGACATGCCAACAAAAGTGCATATAGTCCAGGCCGTGGTTTTCCCAGTTGCAATGCATGGCTCTGAAAGTTGGACCATAAGAAAGGCTGAGCACCAAAGAATTGAGGCCTTTGAACTATGGTGCTAGAGAAGACTCCTGCGAGTCCCTTGGACTGCAAGGCTTTCAAACCGGTCAGTCCTAGAAAAGATCAACCCCGACTGCTCTTTAAAAGGCCAGATCCTGAAGTTGAAACTCAAATACTTTGGCCATCTAATGAGTAGGAAAGACTCACTGGAGAAGGGCCTAATGCTGGGAAAGATTGAGGGCAATAGAAGAAGGGGACGACAGAGAATGAGATGGCTGGATGGAGTCACTGAATCAGTAGGTGTGAACTTAAATGGACTCCAGAAGATGGTAGAGGACAGGAAGACCTGGAGGAACGTTGTCCATGGGGTTACGATGGGTCGGACACGACTTCGCAATTAACAACAACAGAGCATGGTTTCTTCTAATTATCTTTTGACTCATGTTAATCCTATTCTTTATAGTTTTGGCCCATTAATATGTAGAGATCATTTTAAAAAGCTCTAGATAAAATTCATATATAGGATTCTGAGATTCTGTATAGAAAGTTTGTGCTTATTAGGTTTTGATAATGTTAGAACTGCCCTCAAACAATAAAATTGGCATATAGATCTCCAAAGAAATTTAAGCAAAATGTCACATCCCAATATTGAATATATTCTTCTATAAAGTTTTCTCCTAACCTCCTATTTATCATCCATTACAATTCTGAAATTCTGTAAGACTCACTTTAGCCAAGCTGGATGTATTGCCTATAGCAGTCCTTTGTATCTTCAGTTATGTCCATGTGGTAAAACTACAGGGGTTTAAGAGAAACTTTTAAGCGAGATGCTACAATGATGCTTTCTGTATAAAGATTCTAAGCAGATCTTCATTATTCCTATGTTGAAGAAATGTATATGGGTCAATATAACAGAGGAAAAAAGTGACACTGCCATAAGTGTATATTACAGGCCACCCAACCAATCAGAAGAAATAGATTAACTCTTTGCCAACCAGTTAACAAATGTATGTAAGGAAGCATACTACAGTAGTAACGGGAGACTTCAACAATCCAGATATCAACTGGGAGACAAGCTCTGCAACTAGTGGGAGATCAAACAGATTTTTAACCAACCAAGCTGACAACTTTATCATTCAAAAGGTAGAGGAGAGAACTAGAAGTAAAGCTTTACTGGACCTAATCCTTACTAATTGAGAACAAATGACAGAGGGAGTTGAGGTTACTGGAACCTTG